CCTGTTGGGAGAATCGCTAGTAATTCATATTTTTACTGTAAGTATATAACACTAATAGAAGTTTTTTAGATCATATTTAAAATTGATAATTTATTTGCTTCTTTGGAAAACTAATTATTTTATTATCCTAAGGGCATTTTACCCCTATAGGGAGGGTCGCTAGTAATTCATATTTTTACTGTAAGTATATAACACTAATAGAAGTTTTTTAGATTACAATTAAAATTGATAATTTATTTTCTTCTTTGGAAAACTAATTATTTTATTATCCTAAGGGCATTTTACCCCTATAGGGAGGGTCGCTAGTAATTCATATTTTTACTGTAAGTATATAACACTAATAGAAGTTTTTTAGATTACAATTAAAATTGATAATTTATTTTCTTCTTTGGAAAACTAATTATTTTATTATCCTAAGGGCATTTTACCCCTGTTGGGAGGGTCGCTAGTAATTCATATTTTTACTTTAAGTATATAACACTAATAAAAAATTTAATAATCACATTTAAAATTGATAATTTATTTTCTTCTTTGGAAAACTAATTATTTTATTATCCTAAGGGCATTTTACCCCTGTTGGGAGGGTCGCTAGTAATTGATATTTTTACTGTAAGTATATAATACTAATAGAAGTTTTTTAGATTATATGTAAAATTGATAATTTATTTTCTTCTTTGGAAAACTAATTATTTTATTATCCTAAGGGCATTTTACCCCTGTTGAGGGGGTCGCTAGTAATTTACATTTTTACTGTAAGTATATAAGACCAATAGAAGTTTTTTAGATTACATTTAAAATTGATAATTTATTTTCTTCTTTGGAAAACTAATTATTTTATTATCCTAAGGGCATTTTACCCCTGTTGGGAGAATCGCTAGTAATTCATATTTTTACTGTAAGTATATAACACTAATAGAAGTTTTTTAGATCACATTTAAAATTGATAATTTATTTTCTTCTTTGGAAAACTAATTATTTTATTATCCTAAGGGCATTTTACCCCTGTTGGGAGAATCGCTAGTAATTCATATTTTTACTGTAAGTATATAACACTAATAGAAGTTTTTTAGATCATATTTAAAATTGATAATTTATTTGCTTCTTTGGAAAACTAATTATTTTATTATCCTAAGGGCATTTTACCCCTATAGGGAGGGTCGCTAGTAATTCATATTTTTACTGTAAGTATATAACACTAATAGAAGTTTTTTAGATTACAATTAAAATTGATAATTTATTTTCTTCTTTGGAAAACTAATTATTTTATTATCCTAAGGGCATTTTACCCCTATAGGGAGGGTCGCTAGTAATTCATATTTTTACTGTAAGTATATAACACTAATAGAAGTTTTTTAGATTACAATTAAAATTGATAATTTATTTTCTTCTTTGGAAAACTAATTATTTTATTATCCTAAGGGCATTTTACCCCTGTTGGGAGGGTCGCTAGTAATTTATATTTTTACTTTAAGTATATAACACTAATAAAAAATTTAATAATCACATTTAAAATTGATAATTTATTTTCTTCTTTGGAAAACTAATTATTTTATTATCCTAAGGGCATTTTACCCCTGTTGGGAGGGTCGCTAGTAATTGATATTTTTACTGTAAGTATATAATACTAATAGAAGTTTTTTAGATTATATGTAAAATTGATAATTTATTTTCTTCTTTGGAAAACTAATTATTTTATTATCCTAAGGGCATTTTACCCCTGTTGAGGGGGTCGCTAGTAATTTACATTTTTACTGTAAGTATATAAGACCAATAGAAGTTTTTTAGATTACATTTAAAATTGATAATTTATTTTCTTCTTTGGAAAACTAATTATTTTATTATCCTAAGGGCATTTTACCCCTGTTGGGAGAATCGCTAGTAATTCATATTTTTACTGTAAGTATATAACACTAATAGAAGTTTTTTAGATCACATTTAAAATTGATAATTTATTTGCTTCTTTGGAAAACTAATTATTTTATTATCCTAAGGGCATTTTACCCCTATAGGGAGGGTCGCTAGTAATTCATATTTTTACTGTAAGTATATAACACTAATAGAAGTTTTTTAGATTACAATTAAAATTGATAATTTATTTTCTTCTTTGGAAAACTAATTATTTTATTATCCTAAGGGCATTTTACCCCTGTTGGGAGGGTCGCTAGTAATTCATATTTTTACTGTAAGTAAAAGACCAATAGAAGTTTTTTTGATTACATTTAAAATTGATAATTTATTTTCTTCTTTGGAAAACTAATTATTTTATTATCCTAAGGGCATTTTACCCCTGTTGGGAGGGTCGCTAGTAATTCATATTTTTACTGTAAGTATATAAGACCAATAGAAGTTTTTTTGATTACATTTAAAATTGATAATTTATTTTCTTCTTTGGAAAACTAATTATTTTATTATCCCAAGGGCTTTTACCCCTGTTGGGAGGGTCGCTAGTAATTCATATTTTTACTGCAAGTATATAACACTAATAGAAGTTTTTTAGATCACATTTGAAATTGATACTTTATTTCCTTCTTTGGTCACCTAATTTTTTTATTATCCTAAGGGCATTTTACCCTTGTTGGGAGGGGCTACAGTAATTCCTATTTTTATTATAACGTATTTTAATTAATAAAAATATTTTAAAACACAGTTTAAAGTGATAAGTTATTTGTTTCCTCTGACAAAATAAATATTTTATTATTACGGGGTAGTTTACCCTTGTGGGAATTTGTTATTATATCTATCATATTTTTGGTTTGAGTTAATACTACCATTATAAATATTGTAAAATACCTTTTGATGTGACTTATTACCTTGTCGGGTAAAATAGTAATAATATTTTTAAAGTATTCTATTGTCCTTTTAATTTTAATTAATATTGTTGTGACAATTAAAAGAACATCCTATTATCAAATTTCGGTAAAAATTTAAATTGTTTTTGTCCTATTTCTCACCTAATAATTAATTACCTCTATTTAAACGACGCTACTGATCATTCGGTAATATTCGGAATTTTGACTGCTAGAAATTGGCTGCTAAGTTCACACCGGTATAACGTGTGGTGTTCCTCAAGAAACAGTACTCGGTTCACTACTATTAAACGTGTATATAAATGACTTATTTGAATAACACGTTGCAGGTAAAGTGGTCAGTTTTGTCGACGATACCGCAGTTTTTTACAAATCAAGTAATTGGGAGTCATACAGTTGAGGCAGACTTTCAAAAAATTGTCAATTTTTTTCATTACAAAGCTTTGACACTAAATTATAATAAAACATATTACATACCAGAGTTGGGTCAGATACCGGATACGGATACTCATAATGTATCCGGATACTCATAATGTATCCGGATAATCTTTTCGGATACTGTTTTGCCAACTGTAACATAACTGAGCTAATGGAACCTCCACAAGTTCGTGACGCTAACACCGAACAAGGGTTTGCAGTAGGTGCAATTGTGTCTTAAATATTGTAATATTGCATAATACGTTAATTATTTCTAATTATACAGGGTAGCTCAAAGTATTTCGATTATATATTTTAATAGAGATAATATGGATTGGATCAGTTACGATTGTGGTAAATAATTTAAAAGTATCCGAATGTCGAAAAAAGTATCTGGTATCTGTATACTTACAAATTTGGTCACGGATATGGATACCGGATACAAAATTTGTAAAGTATCCGGATACATGTTTCGGATACATGCATAAAGTACCCGGATGCTGTATCCTGATACAGAAGTATCCGGATACTACCCAACTCTGTTACATCCCATTCTCATCTTACAGTCATAATTTACCACCTTATAAAAAACTAAAAATTAAAATAGATCACAAACATTCAATAGATATTCAATCTGTCAATAACATAAAATATCTAGGTGTATACATTGACTTTTATTTAAAATAGGACGCACATGTGAATTATGCAATAAAGAAACTACGTTTTGTAGTAAGTAAATTTAAAAATCTATTAACATTTTTTCATATTAATCACTTAAAAGTATTATATTATGCACTTGTAGAATCTCATTTATATTACGGACTCATTGTATAGCGGTCTGATAGAATAGTTTTTAGAAAATCTACAAAAAATACAAAAGCCCATAATAAAATATATGTATAATAAACCTCGAATTTCTCAGTTTTTAACGCCCTTCTGGATTTCGTCAATTCTTGTAACCTAAATTTGTAAATATTGGTTCCTTTGTTATCTATCCTGGATTTATAAACCCGTATTCCTTTCTTTTCGAGATCTACCTTCCCCAGTGTAATAAAGTCACCTGAATGACCCCTGGGTGTGAAATGAGTTACCCTTATCCCATCCTGATGTAATATTGTATAGGTTAAGTCAACAAACTCAATTCGTGTATCTGGCTATGTGAGTACAATACTCGAAGGCCATTAAAAAAAAAACTCGAATTATTTTTAGTTTGTAATTCAGTTTTATTAGTTTGTTGTTTAAAAAAATGAAATTTATGCCCACTCTCAGGTACTTGTTTTTACTAAGTATAATACGCAACTACTTGTAATTATTTGTGTGTGAATAAAAATTATTATTATTATCATTAATATTAACAGTAATGTTTGCATTGGATCCAAAAACGACTCTATTGTGGGTCATACATTATGTCTAAACTGAGTTATAAATAATTCTTAGTTAGCCACTAGCATTCTGCTATTATACTTTGAATTTATCTCTTATGACAAATCTAAAAATCTAAAATTAATTTGTTTCACTAGTTACATTTAAAAAAATAAAATTTATTGATTTTTATGTGCACATAACCTCAAAATTTAAAATTTATAGAACAATTATATATGGTTTTAAAAACCATTTTTCTAAAATCTGTGTAAATGTGTAAGTAACTATCCGGTAACTGTATTCAGTAATATAAATAAACCCATTTTGCTCCCATTTTGTTTATTACCGTTGAAAGAATATGTTTTAAAAATTTTGTTTTCTAAACATTTTTTAATATGCCTTTTTTTGTTTTAGTCGATTTTTATTTGTCTCTTTGCGTCAGTCTTTTGTGCTTCCCCAAATTATTATCCATCAGAACAACGTGGACAACAGAATTATGGAGGAAAAAACTTTGTACCTATCGTAGCAGAAACAAATGAAATTTCTCCAGATGGAACTTTTTCATACAGGTTAGTGATATAGATTTATATTCCATATAGGACACATCACGCTGAGTTAAGGAGGTGATAGGACTGTTTTCTTTATTTTTATGTTTATTTTAAAAATAATCTTTTAAAAAATACAAATATGTCTCGTATCCAACATAGGCTCTTTTTTGAGGCGGAAAGAAATAGTCAAGTTTTGTTAAACCAGACCTGGATATTAACTATTATTTCCATGGTATTCTTTTTATTATATCCTGACTGATGCCAGTGGCTGCAGCTCGATCATCTCAGCGTGGTGTGGCGATGCTGGTGGACCAGGGCAAAGATGGTGGTAGAACTTTTTGTAGAGGACACCTAGAACTATTAGAGTAGGTAACACAATAGCAACTGTGATGACATTCGAGATGAGGTTGTGGTTTAGCTGTTGCCATACAACTGAAGATTTCCTTACGTGACAGTAGTTGCGTCCAGATCTCTCATAAATTTAATCAATAATACAATTAGGACTGATCTCAATATTTCTTACGGCAGAAAGTGAACATATATACCGATGATTTGGAAATGGGATGCTGTGGTTAATTTCTTCTCTGCTGAGTTCGAAGTACAATTATTAATGTCGATGGCAATAGGATTGCTTGACATATCTAGTAGGTAGTAGGAGCCGTTTGCCCAGATGGAATGGAATGGACTCTGATCAGCTCATAGTCTAAGATGTCAAGTATCACAAAGGAACTGAATATCTGAATTTCTCTATCAGTGTTTTCTAGTACTATCTTTATCGTTGGAGAGGTGAGTATTCTTAAATTTGCTGGCAGCTTTTGGTTATCTGACGAAATTATTTCTCTTATGTGAGTAGGTGATAAGAGATCGTAAAGAGTTTCTCTATTAAACTACATATCTAGCATTCGAGAATATTGATGTGTTAATTCACTTAGAAGTTTGATTAAATCTGGTAGGCACTAAAAGTATTAATGTTAAAGGTGAATATCAACCTAATTGTACAATTTTTGCATGTTATATATTGCATCGAGGCCTTGGTTGAGTTTTGATCTAAAGCATTCTAGTTGGTTTTGTATTCCAAATTCTGTGTTATTGAGTTATAATAATGTAGATATCATTATATTACTTTGATGGCTAGTTGATTTTATGAGTTCTTCTTGATTTTGTTGCAGTGCTTCAATGTCTCGATACACTTTGTCATTGACGCCAAATACAGATGTTAGCAGTTTTCCATAAATAACTCTAGCAAAACGTTCAACGTTGGTGGTTATGCTTGTATTAAATTTTTGCAACTGTTTTTCTTGTTCTATTAAATGGTACAGAAGAATGTGGCAATGCGTTTCTTGAGACAGTTCTGTGGTATACTAACAGAGGTTTGTGAAATCTTCCACCACTTCTTATGCATCTCTAAAATCTCTAGCAATCTGTAACTCGTTAAATTTCACTTCTATCATGAACGTTCCTCGATCTATCTGCCTTGTCCCAAATGCTCTATATATAGACCTGGTTTGGGGTATTGGAGACTGTAGCTGGCTTGAGTTTGGGGAACTTGGAATATAGGAGCTATTAGGAATAGTAGTTTAAGACATGAGTAGGAAGTTTAGTTTTGTGGTCTTTTCTCAGGCTGTGTACGATGCACATGGACTTTCACTAAATTACTGTTTACAGTCACATCAGGAGACATTTTTATTGGTTCGTGAGAATTATTCCAGCATCAGTGGGTAATGGAAATAGAATGTATATTGATCGTTTTAGCTTGTTACCTCCTGCTTTTGTTAGGTTCACGACACGAACTTTTTATCATCGCCTTGGTAAACTTCAGCAACTCTTGCCATAGGGCAATGGCTTGTATTAACATTTTTGCCTTTTATAAGCAGTATGGTGCCGATTTTTATATTTTCTTCGGGTTTACTCGATTTATATATCTGTTGTAGTTAAATTAGATATTCGAATGTCCATGATTTCTAGAAATAGGCCTTTAGCTATTGCACTAATTTCCAGCGTTAATTGAGGTTGTTGTTGTTGTTGTTATTGTTGATATCTGTATTGATAGAATAGTATTTCTCTTCCAATTAAGAAGTGACCTGGCGTCAGGAGGGCATAATCATCTACATCTTCACTGATAGGATAGACTTGAATTAAGGCAGGCTTCTATTTGATGCATGATGGTTGTTAATTCTTTATAAGTTAATTTTAATTCTCCAATAATTCTTCTTAAATGATGTTTCATTAATTTGACTCCAGCTTCCCATAATTAACCAAAATGCGGGGCTGATTCCTTAAGTTGACATGGAATTTTAAACATCTAACTTCTTGGTTATTTGGAATATTTCATTTTCAAAATAGGTATTGGCACCGACAAAGGTTTTACCATTGTTACTGTATGTGTGAACATGGATCTCTTCTTGAATTAAATCTATTTAAAGCAGCTAGAAATGAGTTGGTGGTTATATCGTTTATTACCATATATATTTTATATGATTTATACCTTCTTTCTTTAGTTGTTCTTACTTGAACAGGTCCTGCATAATCTACTTTAGTGTGTGTAAATGGAGAAATCGGTGTGACCCTAGGCTTTGGTAGTTGGCTCATCTGTTGCTTTGCAGTTTGCTTCTTGAACCTTATACATTTAACACATTTATTTATTACTCTCTTGATAGTTTGCTTTCTTCTGATAACCCAATATTGCTATCTACGATATGAAGAGGTGTATTGATTTCTACCATGTAGTGTTCTATTGTGACACTTGCGAATTACAAGATCGGTGAAGTCACTCCAAATAGAAAAAATAATTGGATACTTCTGCTTATATGGTAATAAAGATTTCTCTAATCTCCCTCTGACTCTAAGTATACCTTCCTCATCAATAAATGATTACTTGATTTTTCTAAATATCTAGTGTTTGGTATTCGTTTTATGAATTGCTTTAACTGTAGCACTTTTATTAGTTGTTTTAATGTGGTGTCTATTTCTTTAATTGTTAATGGACCTTTTCTTAGTCTTCTGCAGAATAAAAAAACTCAAAGTATTTTTGTTAATTCTGAGAATCTGTCTGGTTTGCTATATTAATTGGGTGGTACATTTTGGTAACCTTGATTTCTTCATTGGTCTGGGGGATTTTTAGACCTTTTGGAAAATCATCATTATTTTGCAGCCATTTTGTTCCTTGCCACCATAGTAAATGTTTCTTTTAATTTTTTAACGTGATTCCAGTATTATTTTGGTATCAACTTTTTGATTATTGACACTCGATTTGTTACAAAATATTTCCATTTCATGGCATCTCTTTGGATCCATCCCAGGGTTATCATAGAATCTGGCCATGCAAAGATTTTTGGTTTCTTTATCTTTAGGTCTTGTATCTTTTTTTCCATGAGTTTTCCTAGGATACCTGCAGCAAATAGTTTAAACCTTGAGAGTGTTGTTTTTACTTTAACTGGAGCGACTTTTGATTTTGCATGTAACATACTGATATGTGGCATTCTATTTATTAGTGTTTTACTGTTAATTACGTCACAGAAGCCGTGCAGTTCAATTTCTGTTTCATCGAAGTGAATCCATCTTTGAATTGTAACGTCTTCCACATTATTCATTTGCTTTTGAAACACTTTCTACAGTGAGGCTATTTTCTGGTTGATTGGTTCATACCAGCTGAGTTTTTCGAGTAATAACTCTTGAATAAGCAATTTTGCTTGAATTACTACTGGTGATAACCATCCTAATGGGTAGAAAGGTTTAGCTATTTCAGACAGAATGTGTAACATTTGTAACATTTTCTGTCTTGGAGTTGATTTTAAATTGTAGTCGGAATGTATCACCTACTAGAGCCCACATTACTCCAAGCGACTTTCTGGTTTGATCTACGATTAGTTTACCTATTTGATTATGAAAATTTTCTGGGAGAGACTGTAGGAGTGATGGATGGTTGCTCAATCATTATCTGTAAATAAAACCTGCGTAATAAGTCTTGTTGGAGATTGTGTGCTTTTTAAACTTTTTGCTCAGGGTATTTGGATTTTTCATTCAAGGCCAATTGGTTTATCGTTCTTATGGCTAAAAATGGAGCAGCTGATGTTCCATATGTGACACTCGTTAAATCGTATTGTAGGATGTTCTGGGATTTGCCAAATCTTCATAGAATTCGTTGGTAGGAAGTACTGTCTTCGGGGATTTTTATCTGTCGATACATCTTTTCAATATCAGCTAAAAATACAACTCGATGTTTTCTCCATCTTAAGAGTATTTGGGAAATGTCTTTGGTCGAGAAAAAATATAGTCATTCAGGCTGATACCGTTCGAGGCTTTGCTGGATGCATCATAAACTACTCCCAATTTGGTTGTGGTACTGACTTCTTTGAATACAGGATGATGTGGTATGTATTATTTCCCTGTCTGTATTTGTGGAATGGCAATTTCTTCGTGTGCCCTAGTTTTATGTATTCTGGTGGTATTTTGTTTTTATGTCATTATCTTTTTCGAATTTTTGTTCCATTTGAAACAATGTTGCAGCTGCTCTTTTTTGAAGTCTCCCAGTTCAGGGTTTGCCGTTTTAAATGATATGGATACTGTATATGTTCCATCCGGATTTCGTGTAGTGGTTTGGTGATAGAATTCTTAGCAGACTTGTTCGTCTGGGTTTAAGTATTGTGGAGGACTAACTTTTTCAATTTCCCGGAATTTGGTTAACATTTTATTTTCTTCGGTGCATATTACCGTGCTTGTTATCTTTATTGTTTCAGTTTTTTTGGGCGGCAATGTGACTCGAAAAAATCCATCTAAATTTTGTATTTTGACCAATGATACCATCGTTTCTTTGTGGAGACCATCCAATATCAATTTACTATATTCTTCTGCTCCAAGTTATAAATCGATTGGACCTGTTTTATTGAATGTTGGATCCGCTAATAACTTGTTCTGCAAGGGTGCTGTATCAACGTATATTACTTATTTTTTTTGGGATGGCTTATGTCAACTTTGACATAACCATCAGTTGAACATTAATGGCAAAGTTACTGAAGAATCTTGGTTTTAGGTATGCTTGAATTCTTCATTTTGACAGTTTAGGCTGCTAGTCGGCTAGACCAGATATTTCTGCTTTGATTTGAGGTTAAAGCGTTTAAGTTGCTTCTTGGGCCTGAGCTTGAATTTTGTTTTTATCGTTGTCTGTTGTCTAGATGCAACATGGTATAATGATGACGTTGGCAGATGTTGCATTTGAATGAACTTTTGTATTTTAATTCATGAGCCATACAGATGTAGCATAATTGTTTATAGTTTATGACATTGTTCCTGTCTTTGACAGATAGTGACTTGAGCGCTTCACATTAATATATTATGTGGTCTTTGTTGCAGTACCCATAAGTATTGTAACCTTTATTTTTATAGGTTGTTTTTGGATAAATAATCTTCGCTTTTGGCATCTCTGTGTTTTTTTGTGACTCTGGTGATGGAAATTTTCTAAAAACTCCATTACTGTGGCAAGAACTGGAACTTCATGCGGCTTGGTTAGGTTTTGTTCATAAAGTTTGTTTGTGGTAGGATCCCATTACCTCATTACTATTCTGATAACAATGGGTCCCCAAGACATTGTTTCAATACCTCTATTTTTGAATGCATTAAGGCATTCCATGGTAACATCATAAAGTTGTTTTAGCTTTTCAACTGACTCACTGTGGCAAACAGGCAAATCTAGTAATTTCCCAGACAGCACAAAAATATTGCATGAATATTCAATGCATATCTCAACTGCATACTCCTATATTCCATGGATATGCCACATCCGCCATGGCATATGACGGGAAGATTGCAGGAATATTCAAGGTCACCATGAAACATATGCTCACGATATATTTTTATCTGCCAAAATATATGTATGGCATATTCTCTGAATTTACTGAGAATATCTATGTATGCCTATATTCATGGTATTTTGAATATTCATGGCATATTCAATTTTTTTTGTAATGCCATACCATAGTTTAGAAAATAAAACCCATACCTACTTAAATACAAAATAAATTTTATTTTAAAAATAAAGCAAATTTTAAAAAATAAAACAATACATATATACAAAAAACTAAAAATTTCAATTTATTTGCTGAGGTTCTTCACGTACTTTTCTGCTAAAAAAATGACATATAAGGTATGTATATCAGTAAAATAGAAATATTTCAAAATCTTGAGACAAACATTACAGTAATACTTACTTCTATAGCATTTTTGGGTCACTTTATTTATAGTAAAGGCCTCTACATTTTCCGTTGCCATTTGTGTACTGTGGATTTTTCTACACATCTCTAAAAAAACAAAAATAGGTTTACATAGTGCCTTATCTGCAATTTTATTACGAATTGTCCATATTTTTATTTCCATTTAACACTTTTATAATGATCAGTTACTTTATTACTAAGAATAGGTAAATCATTAGCCGTAGATATCTTTGAATTAATATTATTCTATACAAAGAGAGCTGTTGAAATAAACTCAGATTCTTGAATGTTACACGAGTTTTTTCCTGGAAAAAAGAATAATGGTATTTCCTCGGAAGATTCAGTAAGAAGCTTACATTTTACATTCATCTGAAGCTAATGCTCTATCATTATTTGAGAACAAAAGATTCGTCTACCAATTGATTTACACTTCTTATAAAATATTTATGATTTTAAGCACTACACTGATACTACAGAAGGGCCATATATTATAATTAATCAGACTTACCCCTTAGGTGGGTATATCGTGAGAAAAAACTAAAACTACATCACGTCAGCAAATCTGACAATGTTTGGTTATGTGTCTTATTCTTCTTCTTTTTTTTTATTAGTGGCCTTCATCGTTTAGAGTATTTGACCAAGGTATCATGAATAAAAAAATATTCCTCACAATCTAACTTCCCGTGTAACAAAGACTTACGTTCGACGATAGGCTAGATTATGAGTGCATCCAATAAGATACTATTAGGTAATTTTTACTACCAACTACCAATACTTACTAGGCGCATACTTTTGACTATTAGAATCATTCTTTTGTCCTTTTCTTGTCTACATTATAGGAAAACTATACATACGTATTTTATCTATGAAGATAAAGATAATTTGATCTTGGAGGTTTGATTTTTTTTTATTAATTGAAAATAAGTTTGCATGATTTAAAGTTACATTCCGGAGTTCTAAGTTCACGTTTTTGTTTAATTTAAGTCTTTATAAACTAAACAAAGGATGATTCTGTAGACTATATCTTCATTTGTACTTATAAATAATAAAACAAAATAGTTAAATATAATATAATATTCTACAGAGATATCTATACAATATGAAAAATGAATATGCAAAGCATATCAAAAATACATATGCCTGGAATATCTTTCTAGAATATAGAATATGAAATATATTCTGTGAATATTCCATAAATATTGCAATATATTTAGGCAAATAGGCAGATTGGTGGCATATGCCAGGAATATAGTGTGCTGTCTGGGTTGTCTACTAATGTTGATGCAAGCAATCTCCTATTTCCGTACCTTTTTTTTTAAATTTTTTAAACTGTTGCTTGAAGGACCATGAATAGATTTCAAAGATAAACTTTGTAATTATTACCACACGATCGCATGCACGTACGCATGCACACCCACTGGACAAAATTTTTATTTAGATATATTCGTTGCCAACGAAAATACTAAAAAATTAAATTTTACACTTTTCCACAAATTTTTCCATTTTCCATTTAAAAAGAAAATAGATTCACAAACAGCAAAGAAAATAGTACTGTTTTGTCTTTGCCTATTTATATATGGACTATTTTTTTTTTAGTTATTCTACTGGGGACGGTCAGCAAGTCCAAGCCCAAGGTTACCTTAAAAACGCAGGAAACAAAGGCACAGAAGCAGAAGTAATTCAAGGCTCCTATTCTTACACATCACCTGACGGTACACCCATTACTGTGACCTACATAGCAGACGAATTTGGTTTTAGAGCTGAAGGAGCTCATTTACCTACCCCACCACCTATTCCAGAGGCTATCCAAAAGTCACTGGCGCTTATTGCGCAAGCGCAAGGTAGATCTGTTGGTGAACAACCTACGTATCCTGAACCAAGGTCCTTTAGGAACAGTTACAAGTCACAGTATCAGAGGCCGTTTAGGTATTAAAATAATTTGTTTATCCAATGTAAAATAGAATTTGTTTAAAAAGTATTCTTTCTATTTAAATATAATAAATAAAAAGAGTAGAGAGTAAGTTCATAATTTAAGTAATACTTATTAAAATTATGAAACATGGTGTTTGTTATAATTTGTAGATACCTGCCTTGTAATTTTTAAATATGCTCATTTTTGTAGATGTTTAAAATTATATGTTAATAAAAACGATATTACTTCTTTATAATTTTGTTTCTTATAATTGACGTGATTTGATTACAATAGATTCCTGCTCTTGCCTTCAAGTCACCCCGGACAAACAGACAATTTGCCGCACCATATATATACAGGGAATATTTTTTATTGCATAGAGTATATAAAATCTATGTTTATTTAACATTGTTTTGCGTATGTTTTTAAATGGCACACAGGCGTTCATAAAGTCCATTTGATTTACATTTATCTAAAATTATTATGAACCAGTGTTTTTAAATAAAATAATAATAAAAAAATATATGTAACACATGATAAATATTTAAAAAGGGCAAAACTTAAAAGTAGTACAAAAAATTATTGCATAAACAAACAGAGAAATTTTATATTCTATAAAAATATAACTATGAAATAAAGTAACCTAAAATAAATTTTTCTTTCTAATTTTGATTTCCGCAAATGTTTTTATTATGTACATCTTTTAAGGTAACTTGATCAGCAATTTCATGCTCAATTGCTAAAATGATCAACCCATTAGGACGATTTTGCGTTGTAATTGAACGTAAAAAGTTCTTAATCAATTTTAATTTGGAAAAAATTTTTTCTCCACTTGCAACAGTTACTGGTATAGACAGCAATACTCTTAAGGAAACACTTAGGTTTGGTAGAGTTGCCATTTTTCCGGAAGTGAAAAGCGTGGCCACCGTGATTTCGTAAAAACGAGGGTCTTTTACCCAGATTTTTCTCTTTTTATGTATAAATCCGATTCCTCTGCGGCTTTTAAAAAGCGTAGAATTTGCATAAAAAACGTACAGGAAGTCAAAAAGAGTGACAAATATGCCAAAAGCGTGGCGTCTGGCAACTCTAGGTTTGGGGCACAATTTAAAATTGTTATTAATTTTAGAACAGTGTCTGGGCTTTCTTTTTTCCACCGACGAATTAGCAAAAGTAATGCTATGCTGTAATAAGACAGTGTAGTAGGGTTGGCTACAAGAAAATTTGGAATTCTTTGTAAAGAAAGATTTTAATTTTAATCAACGTGAAAAGGAAAATTAAGTATCTAATAATAATCAAAAGTGTCACATCACATAACCTTGTGTGTCAATTGACGCGTTATCGCACTAAGAACCGCGCCTCTTCTTCTTTTTCTCCCTTTGACCTCGTCCACAGAGGCACTTGGAGAATCGTCGGCTATCCAGCCACCTTACGGACAGGAATCAGAGTTAGGATATTAAATACTTCCCCTTTGCACCACACAGGCGTCCCGCATGTGGGTCAACAGCGACTAAATCCGCCTCTTCTTAGGGACAGCAAGGACGTCGGGGCATCACCAGGTATCGGTAACTGGTATAGCCCGAGCTGAAACTATATTTTTGTTTCAAAGAACAGATTCTAGATGGCGCTGTATACAAAAATTTACAGAAATCTACAATTGATGGTGGAAAGAGTGGGAGTATCATTTGTCATTGTCAGGCATCCATTATCGATTACCTCGCGGTGAATGACATTTGCCATTTTACCTGTATTTTTGTGATTATCAATATCATATTTTCAATAATTATTATTTGTTTGTATTTGGGTGTGCTCTGGATCCTGGATGAATAAATAGTAAGTATTTTGTAAATAATTGTTTATTGTATTGTCAACTTGGTCTTGCTCAATTGTTTTAAATGTTCAATTTGTTTACTTGATCTTGCTGACGATTGAGCTTATTTTAAATTTTTGTGGTCATCTTTAGTTATAAAAGCTGTAATATATCGTATTGTTGTATGCCAAATTGTTTTGTAAATACTCTGAAATCCTAAAAACGATTTATTTCAAATTTGAGTATTGGGTGTTCGCAGTCCATTTTTCAAGAATAAAACAACAAATTTGTAAAAACTATTTAGTATGTGATAAACATTTTGAAGATATGTTTAAACTTCTTGGTGCACGCAGCGATCTAACTGTATTTTTATTTGTTCTAGTACAAACTTTTTCAAGCCGTTTGGAGTGGCAGTATTGCATCGTTGAAGACAAAAACAGCCTATTTAGGGAAGTAATAGTCACTGTACTTTTTTGTATTTATGCCTCACATTTGATTTTTATATTGATTTAGTTCAGATTGTTACTTTTACTGTTTTTTATTTGTTCTAGTACAAACTTTCTTCAAGCCGTTTGGAATGGCAATATTGGATTGTGGAAGACAAAATAGCCTAGTCCGGGAAGTAATAGTCAGTATACCTTTTTTATTTATGCCTCACTTTCCGTGCTCCCCAACAGATTTGAAGGGTTCAGGAAAAAAAGGGGCCTAGTCACAATTACCAAAATGTTCAGAAAACCAAATTTAATTTAGACTGACTAAATACAAACTTTTGATACTTAAAGGTAATTGATTACAAAAAGATTTTACTTTGTTTAAATGTTGCCTGATTATATTGTAGTTTACCACTTAATTTACCAGACAGTTGTAATTTTTTATTCTAAATACTGAAAATGACAAACAAACAGTAGGAAAGTCCTTGGACATAATTTTAAATGCACTGTTTTGCATTTGCTAATACTGGTATTTTACAAAATAGGGCGGACTAGTTCAATTTTGATAAAAATGTGGCTTAGCTGCTTTTTTCTTCCTTTACCCTTCTTGATTTATAAGTTGATTAATATTTATTTTTTGTTTTAGATAAAACTCTTCAACCTCTGTGGACAATGACTTAACTTTCTAGCTAATTAACACGCTACATTTAATTACTCTATTTTGTATGTTTTTTTTGTTTTAATAAATTAATTTTGTTGATCATGCTTTTTAATTTTTTATAAAAATATTTCAACTTGTAGTCAAGTTAGGATTGGTTCATACTACTCATTTTTTGCTTTATTGTAACAAATATAATTTTATTGCTACAATAAACGTAAAAAAGGAGTTGGCATAAACAAATCTTAATTTGACTACCACTTTTAAACTAAATATTGAAGGACCATTTTGAATGTTCCCGCGTTTTGTGTTAACTAAAGTGACCGCGAGATGGCGCCACTTCCGCCAAATAGTTCATAGAACGCTCACCGGGTGTTACAAAACTGTCTCAAATTTTAACATTGCAGTTTCCATTCTAAAAGTAGTTGTTAGGTGAGCATCACTTAGGCGGTGAGAGTCTACTAGCACTGTACCTATCGCCTTCCGCAAATGAACACGTACGTTGATCTTGTGATAGTTCATGGGTGTCACGGGCATCGCGTAGCGTCTGGTTAAGGGTTCGTAAGTACGGTGTAATTAGGAGTAAGAAATTGTCGGCTTCGACGATAGCACGGAAATCTCGGTTGACATCATCAGGGGTGCGCAACTCGCGGCCGAAAGTTAGGTACGCGGCGGAATACCCAGTAGATTCGCACTTCACTGTATTCGTCGTGAATCGTATCGCAGGTAATTTGTCATACCATGAGGTATGGTCATCATTAGTTAGTATAGCTATGGAACTAACAAATTGAGGTCCGTTGTCACTGATTACGCGACACGGTACTCCAAACCGTTAGATTACATCGTTGAATAAACACCGAGCGCATGCAGTGGCAGTGGTAGACTCTAAGAGAAATAACTCTACTGGTCTTTCGTCTTCCTTCTCCCCCTGTAGTAGACATGCTCGAAATGCATACTTGCTTGTATCAGTGCGAAGTATGTAGGGTAGTTAACTATCTGCTTGGCGAAGGTTTGGGGCAGAACACAATACTGACTTGAGATGATAGAACGCTGCCTCTTGTTTTGCTCCCCAGGACCTCTTGGAATTTTTCTTTGTTAAGAACTTTAGAGGCTTGGCAACATGTGAGAAGTTTCCTATGAACCTGCAAAACCATGAACAGGTTTGTAGGAGTTTTAGAAGCTCGGTGACATTCGAAGGTGGGAGCATATTTATAATAGTAGAAACTTTATCGTCATTTGGTAATAGTTTATTCAAATCTTGACGTAATTGTTCCCTTTTAGGTTCAGACATCCGATAGGGGGGAACAGATATGGGAACATCGTCGGTCAGAATAACCGAATGTTCGGCGCATGGAGTAGTCTCCTTACTATATTTGAAGAAAACTGCATTTCCTGTAATCAGGGCGTAAATATTAGATTTTTCCGAGGAAGATAAGGAAATACCTACATTATCTCTAAGTTCTAGATAGGCTAATGTCAAGGTATTAAGCATACAGGACTTTAGTTGGACCGGGTCGGGCGGGAAAAGACATTGATTTGTTGATAGGTCACCATAAAACCAACAATCATGAGGAGTATCCGATAAGATATTAGCTTTTCTTATAAAATCAGACCCTAACAGGGTTCTACTTTATTCATGATTTGCTACGGAAGTGAGAGTAACATAATGTAGTTTGTCTTGGAGGATGATTTGAACTTCAAAGACTAGGGCTACAATGAAAGTAGAATTTCCATCAGCAAGGGTCATAGTCATATTTTTCTTTACGTACGGAACGCCATCTTGCAGTAAAATATCTTTTAGTTTGGCTCCTGCCATGCTAGATTGGGCACCAGAATCTAAATATGCATGACTGTCATGACCTTGAACGTTGACCTTGACCGTAGGTTGAAAATTGGAGAAGGTCGGGATGTGTTTACTTGGCAAACCTGTATCTTTTATTTTAGAAAATAAAAATTCAGAGGACGACTCGTCATTGATCTACAAGACCTCAGTTTATTTAGAGCAATTGGGACAATTGCTACGAATATAACCTGGAGTTTTGCAACCGTAATATGAAACAGGGACCGATAAAGGAGAGTTTGATGTTTGAACGAT